CATGGTTTGTTAGAGCGGTATCCCACATACAGTTTTAGGGTGCCGTACCCAAGAGGTAAAACAGGACCCTATTACTGAGACTTCGCTGTCTGTCTGTCTGTCTGTCCGTCCGTCTTTCACCAGGCTTCTCATGAACTTTCTCATGAAAGATTGAGAGTTGAAATTAATGAATGAATGAATAAACTTTTTTGTCCACCACAAATAAGAGTATACATAGTAACAATAGAACAAAAAATTTATGCTATGTACAATTTGGCGGCCATATCGCTACATAGCGGTCTCTTCCAGGCAACCAATGGCTTAAAGGAAACGTATACTACGTAGGTGTTACGAAATGTTCACAGATGATGTATTTCTGTTGCCGCTATAACAACAGATACTAAAAACAAAATAAAAAAATATTCAAGTGTGGCTCCTATACAACAGACATGATTTTTTGCTAGTTTTACAGAAAATGTTACGCGAGTCCAACTCGTATTTGGCCGCTTTTTCATATATCCTTAAATATGCCTCGGCGATAAGTGTTCTAATTAACGTTTCATGATTTCTGCAGATTCATCATTTCATTAACGAAACACAACTTTCTTATAGCTATACAGATATCGCTGAAGCTATAAGAGAATAAGATTGACACAGAAGAGAAGAGAAGATTACAGCCTTAAGAGGAATAATATTTTGATCGAATTTCCGGTATTATGTGGGGTCTAAAAATTTCAAATTAAAGTAACAAATTAAATATAATTATTTATCTCGCGCTCGCTTAACATCCATATCCATTTGGCTCCAGCAATAGTGAAGTAGGAAATGAAACGACACCGTAACAAGTGCCGAATAAGAAAAACAGGCGCTAGTCCCGCTCCTGTCAAGAGATTTATGTAATGTGTCGAGAACATCGCGCCACGGTGGCCATGTGGCTTCAAAAGTACGGATGGTGAGCGACTAAAGCGTTTTATATGCGCACGAATGCCCGGTTCCTATTTTCAACGAACGGCCGTTAGTTACGTAGTTTCGTAACTTTCATAACGACTTGTAGATAAAAGGCGTGTACGCCCGGTTCCTACATTAACAAAACGAGGCGTTTTTCTTACGAGCCGTTGCATTATCTACGGAAAGTGAGTTAGTAGCGTTCCTTTAATCTACAAGTCGTTATAAAAGTTACGAAGCTATGTAACTAACGGCCGTTCGTTGAATATAGGAACCGGGCATAAGTCGTGTTCGACTACTGTTCCTCTTGATGTGGTAGGGCCACGCAGCGGTCTTTTCTTTTGCACGAATGGGCAGATCCGTCAGGAGTACCGCGACCTCACAGAAAACCGCCGTGAAGTGGAATAGATTAAGCTGAATTAAGAAGAAGACTTTTGCCCAGCAGTGGGTAATATACACTGTACGGCTGTTACTTTGATTTTTTACTTTATGCGATACGAATACAATAAATAATGTGATAGTGAGTTTTATGAATGCAAAGAGAATAATATTTTTCCACTTATCTCTTGCACAAAACAAATCAATTCGTCAGATGAAACTCTAAAATTAATTGTTGAGAACTTGAGATCCATCCCGTAAAATCGCGCCGCGTGGCGACCCTAGTCGCGCCACGTGTACGCCGTGCGTTTGTGTGCGCGCGCTCACTAAATTTCATTGGGCGTATTGGTGTCAAGGTCCCGTGTGAATGAACCCTGCGCGCCTGTGTGCGTTCGCCGCTGTTCGGCTGCGCTGCGCCAGCCCGCGGGCTCAACTAGCCAGCCGCAATCATTGGCTACGTAGACTGCTATACTGTCCACATGGCTGCTTCTTATGACGTTAACTTCAGAGGGGGCTATATACGCTGTCTACAGAAGATGGAAAGACTGTGGTGATAAATAGTCTATTATTTCTCGACATACGTATCAATTGTCGGTTAATAAAATTAAATGTTGATGCTTGAGAATGTTCTTGATTTTTATTGTGTTATGTTTAGTTCTGTACAAAAATTGATATGGAATAATTATTTTAATTATTATTTAGGCACACAAAATATGTATAAAGGCAGACCTAGCCATTAGCATTATGTTTTGGTGATCCAGAGAAGTTTAAGTAGGTGCATTGATTATAAAATGAAAAAAGAGGGAATCATTGAAAATCTTTGGAACATTTGGAGATTTTTTGTTATTATTGCCTTTCATGCATGATTAACGTTATGGACTTATTTATAAGATATTAATTTTTAAAATAAAAAAGTGAAAAGTAATATATATCATGTAACTAAAGAGCTTATATCAGAAAACTGCGTTATCAATTGCACAAACACCGGTATAAAGTAAATAGTTATGATACGAATGGTATGTTTCTGTCGCTGGTGAAACGAAGCGAGTGAAACAAAGAATTACGTTAGTTATCATTTTATCGTCCATTACAGTCAATGCACTAATTATTTAAAGTCCGGTGTTCAATATAGCAGGTTGATGAAAAACCTTTACTATCCCAAGATAAATATAATTCGTTTTGCGATATGATAATTTGGACGACACGCCACGACTGGCACACGCGTGCCAGACGCGTTCCGAGGCGTGCTCTTACCTGCCAACTGCCAAGCTGCGTCCATTGCATTATACTGCACAACTATTAAAGTATATTCATTATTGAAACTTTATTGCAAATACCCCAATCAAGAAGTTAATAAGGCTAAGCCAAAGACAATAGGCATTTCTGCCTGTTAACCCAGGTCGTAAAGATGTTTTGTAGTACGTGAAATAATCACATTTAACTAAAAATAATATGACTATACGTACATAATAATATTTGGAAACTTAGTTTAATTTATTTATATACATAAGAATAAATTAAACTAAGTTTACAATCTTATCGCGTTCATTTTTAATTTACATTCCCAACGTACCGAACGCTTTACAGTCAGATGTTGTCGGGAGTTACAACAAACACGATGAATCCGCAAAAATTCGTGTTAAAGAAATAGCTACCTACAAGTATTGAGTACAAGAACGGCTGTAGTCAACAAAAGAACAAGGCTTTTATGATGGGTTAATATAAGATCACAGGTCTTTAGCCGAGCAGATATAGACCAGAAGGCGGTTCCGCTGACATTAAAAAGTGAGACAACGATTCTTGTAAATGAGAAATCCAAAATCCTTGTAATCGCGACCACAGAAAATAGTCGTTCCAAGCTACTATTTGGCCAACCTCCCATATAGTTACAAGTGGGAGGGTTATGATAATGAAAAAAGTGAAGAAAAATATTTAATTTGAAAATTCAATATGTATCCAGTCTCTATCCTGGGCGCACTTTTTGGGATGAAAAATCCGCGCCCGCTCCATATTATCGGCGGCTTTCTTTGAGGGTTCTTATCTCGAATCTTTAAAGTATTGTGTTAGGTGTGATATTGTTATATGCACACATATAATGCGAGAGTCAGGAAATGTAGCCCGGCGGACGTGATAAACACATTCGAAAGTATCAGAGATAAGCGAGCAGATTACGTTTTATGGATAAGTTTCGTGCAACGAAACTGTTGTTTCTAGAGAAAAATACGTTCACCAAAGAAATTGTTTTATAAAAACCGGAGTAAGGATTTGCAATAGATCGAATTTGGTTAAGGTGTAATTGATTAGTCTTATTAAATTCGAATAAAATCGATGAATACGGCTAGTTTAAATAAACTCAATAAGTTATCTTTTAATTTGTTTCCCCAGCGATCAATGGATATTTAAGAGACTTTGAGATAATGGTGTGAAAGCAAAAATCATTCTACGAAGGTCTAGTTGCAAAATATGAATGAATGAATATCTTTATTGCCATAGTATGCTAGTAAATTGTGATCTTAATTATTATAATTTGGTGCAACATATTCAGCTGACTTCAGCATTCGAATGTTCAGCAATACAAATGAAAAATACTTAAATGCGGTAACCTAGAGAAAAGCCAGTAAAATCTCGCACGTATGACTATAATGAGACTAGGTGGTTGACAATCGAGTCGGTCAGAGTAATGACTTCGCACCAAACAACACTTTATCTGGCACTTGGCATCCATAGTAACAGCACTTAGATAGTATGTCCGAAGCAAATAATACATTGTTACATGTCACTAGGTTTCGAAAATCACACAGATCTATTATACCAATCTCAGCAAACAAGACATATTTGCTGTCGACTAAGTGTAATGATAACTTACAAAAACGTGAAAAATATTCAACTTCCCATAAAAAGCCTTGGCAACATCGCAATAGCAAACAAAGTGATAGAATAAAAATAGCATTTACAATTAAATGATTTATTTGCAGACATGCTAGCATCCTCTGTCACTAATGTTGGACCGCTACTCCGGCATCGGCAAAACAATTTCCTTTGTAAGAACTAACTAGGGCCAACGTTCATTTCTGGCAATGTACCAATATCCAAATCAGTGGTGGCACAAAATCGGTAATGTACACCCAACGAAATCCGCTGACAAATGTCTCGCCGTTGTTTCCAGTTCGTTAATTAAGGTTGCGGCCACGTCTGAATTGGCTGAATTGACTACGAGCGCCCGTAGATTGGCTAATTGTAGGGATTATTTTTGAAACGCGGAACCTGCTCAATTGACTGGATAGAATTATTCCGAGGAGCACGATGAATTAAACGCTCGGGTCGGTTAATGTTGAACTGTCAATTTGGTCCACTTTCTACCGTTGTGTGCAGTACGAACGCCTTTATTGTTTGGTCTATTTATCAGGGCGTGTTTTTTTTAACTGACAACGAGGGTGACATGTCGGCGAACACGTAGTAATTACAACGAAACCACAGCGCAGGCAACTCCGCTTTTATAGCGGCCACTGCGGTAGATCTCACTTCCCCGTGCCGACATCAAAGTGAGATAACAAAACTCAACTGTAAACACAAATGAATTTCCATTACGAGCTAACCATTACCGAAACCCTTTTCCATTTGCACTCGGATTTGTAACTCGGAATAGACGAATAAACATTGTAAAATTTTACGGCGGCAAACAGACGTATGCCTTCATTATGGGCGGCGGCCACCGATGCGCGTCCGATACTGCGCTGAGCACCGCACCCATTGGCGGCTTTCAAGCAACGGAGCGGGTCACATCTCCTTATAAGCCGCCAATGGATGCACCACATTTGCAGCTTATTGCGTTTGCGGTGCGACGTTATAAATCCAGGCGTTCGCTCGCCGGTATACAATACAATTAGGCTTTAACTCCAATTGATATTGACTCCCCGATTGGCGACACGCCGCCACCGTGTCGCACTGTGCCTCGCCCCGCCGTACAAGCGGGCGTTCCGTGTCGGCCAGTTGGTAACGCGAACGCGCACGGAATGCCGAATTTAGCTGTTGCCATGCAGCTCTCGGCCGCAGCGCCATTACGTGGGCTATAATACGTAGGTAGGTACGTGTGTTGTGCGTTTCGTAACTAAGCGTTTCTCGTTCGCTTCCACAAAGCGCGCTGGAACCGCATTCGAATTGATACATTCTGAAAAACAACTCTGAACAAAAACTCCATTTGAATATTGAGCGACACGAGCGCGCGGTTTCTGAACGAGTGAGAATTTCGAACGCCCCAAATTAAAATAGCCCTCCGAAGATATTGTTTCTGAACGGACGTGTAGATGTTATCTCTTGGATGGTACTTACGATTTTATACCTGCCGATGTTATTTTTAGAAACGCATGACGTAGTAAGCCAATCACATAAACGGTTAGAACTCTTTAATTAATACAACGATGATGAATTTTCGATTTTATTTGCTTTACACTACAGCCATGAGAAGGAACACGAAAGAATTGTTTTGTATTTATTATAATTTTTCCCTTTTTCAAGCGACTACTGCACGGTAGCTGTGGTAGTCCGAGAGCTTTGACTTGAAGTCAGGGGACGTGGGTTCAAATCCCGGTGGCATCATTTTATGGGTTTACCAGCTTTAATTTATTTCTGTAACTTATGGGCAATGTTACGCATCATATTAGTGAGCGTTCTATACTAGACGAATACACCACCGTAAAGTAATGACCATTATGATCGAAATATTTGTGACTGGAGTTACGTTATGTATGTTGTGAATTTGACGGCTTAGGTCGCGCAGTGGATAAGCTAATGCTACTCGAAACTATTTGAATGTGTTATTCGTGTATATGAGGTGTTACACAGTGGTACACGAAAAACTGTAATTTGTTCATTCAAAGAAATGCGTAGCGTCTATATTCTGTTCATCTATTCTGTAGGTTATAATTCACGCGTTGAAGGTTATAATTCACGTATTTGCACAAGATAAGGCGCTCACCACAGCGGCACCGCGGTAGAGTTTTACACTTGCGAGTCGAATTAGCACAACCTACGAGTAGAGAGCTAGACAGGTGGTTAGGCCACGGAGCGAGCGATAGTCGGGCTCATTAGGGCCACGAAAACCATTAAAAGTCAATAAGCGCGTGGCAACGGCGGCTCACGCTTGGCAGCGCGACCGCCTCAGCGGACGGTCACCAGCCGTTACGTTAATAACCTAGAGCTCATTGGCGGCTAGGACAGGAGACCCGGTTTATCGGTCCTGGTCAAGTCTCATTGGCATATGAGAGCATCAAAGAGTGCTACGTCATAAATGTCATCGAGAATATATCTCGTAATTTTTTTTAATATATATACAAGTACCACGGTCTTACAACATATGCAGATCTTGTAACTTGGACCTCTTAACACGCTAAACCAGTAGCTTATATACGGATGAGAAATGTCCCGTGCAACTAAGGATAGTGAGACTACATAAATCGACGTCAACTATTCACAAATCACCTTACACTTGAAAAATGCGAACGATACGAACACGCTTTAGGATTATGACAATGTAATAAGAACGTAATGTTGTTGCGTTCCTCGATCGCAACGCCATCTAGGTTTTGCATCCACAGTAAAGTCACTTTCCGCTATTGGAGCTATGCTGACTTGCAAAGCCTGCATTTAAGACCGATGCACTCCGCGTATCCGCAAGACAATTGTAAACAGCAATTCAAATTAAACATACAGTTTGAAAGAAGATCTATTGGAAAATTTGTTCACAATGTCTTAAAAATTTCCATATTCAAAGAATTAAATATGATAGGTACAAGTCTAAAGTAAGAAGTGTAATTCGAACTTTCGCCCGGAAAGCGCGTCCGATATTCTAGCCACAAAACCATCAGTACTTCAAAATTCAACTTGTTGCCGAAAAGTTAATTTCACTGTTAGGAAACTAGTGTTTATACAAACGGGCGAAGTTATAAACTCTGCTGCAACTCGTAATCTCGCGTTTTACGACCTTTAGGTAACTGTACTTGCCGCCTTAAAATCGCATTAGTATTACTTATGCCTCGCGTCGAACTTAGTCGGAAACTTAATTTACAATCTACTATAATTCTGGAAGAAATAGAAGTGTCCTTAATAACTACTATTTTGTGGAAAGGACTAGAACAATTAAACTAGTCCCAACAGAACGACAACATTAATTCTGCGTCTCGCATCTTTAATGGAGTGAAAAGACATTGCCTTTTAGGAGGACTATATAGGCTGAATTTGAGACCAAATCATATTATTAGCTTTGTGTAATCAAGAAGCATAGCTTTTGATGCATAATTTAAGTATATTTGGACTTCGTAATATAATAGATTACAGGGGTTTTCAAACATTTTCTACTAATGAACTCCTAAAAAAACGCGAAAATTAATATCAGAATAATTCTTTATTGCATTTATGTTGTGTAATGTCTTAAACATCTTTGAATACATTATAGAATTTACACTAGTTTAAACTCGGTTGCCCAGTTGCTAAAGTATTGACCCCACCTAGCTGGGGTAAAGGCAGGAATGATGATATGTAGGTACTTAAAAACGACAGATCCTTGATGTAATGTCGGCTGCCTTAGAACTGGTAGGGAACGATCTATGAATACACTGCAGGCAAACCTTCCCGAATTGTAACGGAACACCGGTTTAAAACAGTTTGGTAAATCCTACAACAACTAAATTTATATCTATATTCCAGTATAAACGCGACAACACTACCTGTGAGCGAGAATTAGTTTAGGCAAAGAAGGGATACATTATTAAACCTTTTCCCAAGTAAAAAGATTTAATAAGCCTTATAGTATACACACGACGTGGCCTCCAGATCTAAGTCGCCTATCGACCGAGTTTGTCATCTCCCTAAGGCACCTAGCGGTACAAGCTTCGGTACACTCAACTAAACCGGTATCACAGAGGAACTTATCTACCGAGTTACACTGATAAAAATGAAACCAAACAAACTTCGCTGCCACGCCAAAATAACCTCTATCGCGTTTTAATAAAGTAGAAAATGTCACATCGTGAACACAGATAATAATACATCATCGTTCGATATAAATGTCGCTCGGTCAAAATTTAGTACTTGTACGAAAGCAAATCTTTATTTTCTTCTTACTTTACTATCGTGAATTTTAGGAGTATACCGAGAATGAAATATAAAATTGTCGTTCGTTTAAATGAAAAAAAAAATATATAGTAAAGTTGAAAATCTGTGACTTTATAAAATTGATCAATCTAATCTCAGAATATTGTAATAAAAGCGAGCACAATATCCGTTTCCAATCACGTTGTTTTATTGCGTGTTAGCTGGCAGTAAAGTTAATAAAATAATGTACATTAAACTTATAGGCTTGGAATCTTGAATATTATTATAAGAAGGAACAAAATGACCGACGTAGGCGTTGATTTGTACCATCTAGCCATCTGATGTTTACATTAATCTTAGCTACGGTTCTTAGAGTTATTAAGAGATGGCGCTGTACATTTTCATTTAGATTAAGAAATAATTTCAAAGAAAATATTGTTAAAATCGCACGAAAATTGCTAAAATGTTAGATCGATTTCATAAATTTTGACAAAAGTTACAATCATATATACCTAGAAATCAAATTTCAATTATAAATAAAGACGAAAATTGTTAATGAAAAGTACCACCGCCATCTAGCGATCAGATAGATGAAGCCCGTGCTACAAAGAACTATCAAACGGGGCCCGTCAGAAATAGTGTTTATAATTTTAAAGTTCTTTTGATAAACTTACACTTACATACTGATACTCAGTGTCAGGTGGCAATTATATTTTTTTTTATAAAAGAACCTAAAACAAGTATTTTTTTTTTATATTAACGAAAAACAAAACCGTCTTCAAATATCTCTCGCTCTGTATTCATTTTTTATTTAATTTTTAGAAGAATACCAATGGAATTAATATGGGACCACATGGGAAGCTTTCAAATAAAAAAGAATCATCAAAATCCGTTCATTCAGTCGAAAGTTCTGAGGTAACAAAAAAAATACTCTGAGGTAACAAAAAAAATACAGTCATTCGACTGTATTTTTTTTAGCGTTGTTGCGAGAACGTCCTCTGTTTTTGAAGTCAGTTACTATATAAATATAAAATAATATACAATTTATTTATTTTATTTATTCACAGTACAAAATATAGTATAATTTATGTGTTCTTAGGTATAGAGTCAAATCTTTTATGTGTAGTATATTATGCCTATTACAGCAACATTGGTAAAAGGAGTTTAAACACACTTATAAACATAAATGAAAAAAAAAACAGGAAGTGGACGCTAACACTAAAGATAAATTATCAGTAAATTAAATTAAATCTTACAAAAGTTATTAAAGAAATAGATATCAACAAAAAATTCGATATAAAAATTGTTCATCTTATCTCAGCAGCTGAGTCTGACAACTAACTGAAGAGTCTGCGGTTAGAAAGTGAAATAACCCTTGTTTAATATAAACGGAGCGCCTATTGTGTAAGGGCGGGACGCCGAAAACGATGGTTATGTTACGGCACCGTGCCAATTGGCCTCCTTTAAAAGCGAACTCGCTACACAATTTACTCGTACATCGCTAAATCTTAGTAGCGAAATATAAAGTGTATAAAATACCGTTGGCCCATTTGTTACGAGGAATATTTATGTTGGTCAACCATGTACAAAAAACTTACATGAACAATGACATTATTTTCCAATGTAATAACGAACGCATTGCATGTCGTTTAAAGTGAAGACAAATAATGTTCTATTTTCTTTATTTTTTTTTAACGTCAGAAAGGGGCAAGTTACCTAGCGATTCACCTGATGTTAAGAGATATTAGAAACGCACACGTATAACACTTCCACTTTACGCCGGTCTTCTGTGAGACGTTAGTGACCCTACTAGAGTTATCTACAGATAATATCGGGAAAAAATTAGAAAGGACCCTTAAACCGTTGTGAAGTAAGACTTCGAAAAAGTTACGATGTTGCTATTTGAGAATGTTGTATCCTCTCATTCTAATTTTATGTAGAGAGAACGCGAAGTTCGCTTCTTACTTTTACTTTCACGACTGAGTCGTCGCGGAGTGTGGGGAGTTGGTTATTTCCCGGCTACGTCCCGTTCCGAGCTATTTATCAAAGCTACGGAAGATAGGGACTTTGTCGAAAACGGGCACTCTCTCTCGCATTTCAATTTCCTCGCTGCGACGATAAAATTATTATGTATGTAGGATCGTAAATTTAATTCATTTCGTTGGGCGGCGAATTTGTAATATACGACCGAACCGTGATTTCAATATGATATATTATATTAGCGTACTTATAAGGTACATGTAATACGCCCGCAGGCACGGTTGCTGCACTTTCATAGAAATTAGGTCAGTAAGAATTGGTTATACGTTTAAAAAAAATATATTTATGCTATTGTAAATATTTTATGAGTAGTAAAATTATGTTTCAATAAAATTTTCCGTATTTCAAGTTACTCTTTCTCTAAGTATTATGGTTTTTTTGTTTTATAATGTTAGGTACCTACTTAAAGCAATTATGAAGAAGCCTGCTTGTTTCTGTTACGGAAACTGGTCTCTTGAAGATGGGGTGGTTCTCTAGATTGGAACCGGTTTCTGTGGGCGATCGCCACCGAACTGGTTCTATAAAATTCTATCGTCACGACTCTCGCCTGTCTTTCGGCTAAGTGCCGAGTTAACTGGGCGCGTGTTACGCGCTACTGTGATCGGTCTTATCTCGACCATTCTTGCGAGTTAGCAGTAAGGGAATGGGTTCAAAACAAAACGAATGTATCCATTATTTGAAACTATGTATTTTTTTTAATAATTTCTACATTTTCTTTTTTTTAGTGTCTATGAAATAAATATCAATTATAAACAATTGATACACATATTATTGTTAGTTTTCTTGTATATGTTGACATTTCAAGTTTTAGAAGGTAAAACGTTCATTGTAGCATTTTTTTAAAAACTCTTATTACATGTATTGATGATAGTGAACTCTAGTTACTATGATATTGTGCGTTAGAAAACACTGGACCCTACAAACATTTAGATTTCGTTTAAAAACTGTTTTTCACGCCTATTGATCGAAACATTCACGTAGAAATTACACTGGATGTAGAAAATGCATCTTGGCTTCAAACAACATCACGTCAAACTATAATTAATACGTACTGTTAGTACAAAAATTTCTCATCGCCCACTGGACTAAAATAACGCAACCACGTGCGATAGAAAAAACAATCTTACAAAAAAATTACATCTTTATATTAACTTAAATAACTTAATACTTGTTATAACTATAATAATATAACCTGAGATCTTTGCAGCATGTTTGGGCCCGACGAACGCTGTCCGCGCGCCGCCCACATTGCTTCCGTCCTAAACGGCTCTCTTTCTCCCTCTAACATTAAAATCTGCTCGCGTGCTCGCTCACACGTTATAGTATATTACTCTCATTTAAATTTTATACATTACAAAAGTAGTATCACAAACAAATGTACGAACTAGTACAATAATTACGAAAAAACGTACACATAATAATATATCTGATCCCAGGCCGGGATCGCCTCTAATAAATACGGTCGACACGGTTGCGATGCAACAGGGTGCACGCCATTCGGCCGACTATCAACTCTACTACGCTCCCAACTTCAGAATAGAATCGAACGCAAAAATAATATATAAAATAATACGTAACACTAGATCGACCAAAGTTATATATCACACGCGCGGCGGCGGCTGAGATCATGGGGGGGCACCTGACGCCGCCGCGCCATACACGCGACACAATCACCACCACGTCACCACCGCGCCACCACGTCCCCGGACGGCCGGCGACGGTGGACGGTCAACAGTCAACGGTCAACGGTCAGAGCTTCACGTAAGTACGGCCGCCGAAGCGGCCATCCGATACTCTTAAACTACAACTATACATTACATATCACGCTGTGCTTTTTTCATCATCTTTTAAAAATATAATCATATATATAATAATAATTAATATACATATAATATTGATATCTGTTAAGAGTAACGGCACGCGGGCCCCGGGAACCGGAAGGGGCTCACTCCGCCTGACCCCGGAACAGTTTCTTCTTCTCTATCGTGAACTGGGGGCTGATGATTATCGTACCGCCTCGCGTCAGGTTTCTGAGGAAGAGGACACAACAGTTAGTTGCGATCAACCGAAGCTCGGTATTAAACGGAACGAAAAATTCTAGTGTAGTCTGAATCGGACGGACAGATGGGGGGGACACTCACTTTAGGAATTGCGGTAGCAGGCTAGTCCAGTTGGTCGCGTCGTGCTCCAGGTGTAAGTGTATCTCGTGCGTGGTGAGGTGTTGGGGTCGATCTTGAAGGCGGCCAGCCGGCGGCCGGCGACGTCCACGATGACGGCGGCGCCGCGCGAGCCGCACGGCTCGCCCTCTGCCAGCGCCAGGGTCTGCCTGGCCGCCCTGGCCAGCAGCTCCGCCGGCACCAGCACCTCGGCCGTCGCTAGCTCGCTCGCCCCCTTCGCCGCCCTGAGCTCCCGCTCCAGCCGCTGAGCCAGCGCCGCCTCCGTGGGCACCGGCACCGGCGCCTCCCGCCACGCGGGCCCACTCCATGCTGCAACAATGGAAACGGACCTTTAGGATCGCTGCTCGAAAAGCTAACCAGGAAAGGCGAAATCCAAAATTTACACTTGCTTAACGTGAAAAGACTTCATAATTGCGATGAGAGTATTTTTCGAAAGAGACGACACGTAAACTCGTTACAGGGGAAAGCGGGGAGGCTGCTCAGCTGACCTCAGCTGACGGAGCGCATAGCAACAGGCCGCCGGTGAAGTGGGGTGGCCGGAAGCCGGGTTCGAACCGGCGACCGGCGCTCTCGGCGTCAGAGGCGGCCGCGCTGGATCGCTGGATGCGCACCGCATAGCAACCGGCCGGTTAGAAAGCCGCCCGCGATAGAAAGTAGAACTCACCTTTTTCACTACTGAATCCGACGTTAAACTGGCTGGTGACCGGCAGGATCTCCATGTTCTCCAAATTTTTACTTATATTGTACACTTCGCGAACGCTAAAGACCGAAGCGGTTCCGGTCGCGGAACTTAAACTCTAGGTAAATATCACAAGTCTCTTTTTGTACTGCGAACTCGCACGTGAAAACACCGGCTAGTGGACTAGTAGGCGTGATGAGATCGACGGGTTGGATTGCAGATGTAAACGTCCGTGGAACGAGCTAACAACACGACTGCATCAGATCTGATCTCGTAACCACAGGGCTTCGTATCTCGCCCTCGGCTGACTGTTCGACCCACCCGGCTCTGTCGCTCTCCGTGACGGACTGCCGATGCCGGGCAGCGTTTGCCTTTTATAGAGGGCCGGGGCGGGGGGCGGGCGGGGCGGGGCGGCGGGCGGCTGCGGGCGCCCCGCGCGCCAGTCCGGCCGCCGCGTCGCCCGGGACGCACGTCGCGCGCCGCTCTCTCGGCCGGCCCGGTCCCACAGGCGACGACGCCAACCCTGCCCCGGCTAAAGTGCTACCGTTCCGTTCTCCCTTATCTTGCGTTTAGAGTTTAGAGCTCTTGTAAAGGTTCCTTATCGGTCGCGTCTTTGTCCAGTCTTATCGTAGGCTAAGTTATTGTAAGGTCGTACGCTTCATTAACGGGGATTATATTGTTATCTAAATGTCTATCTGTTTTGTCGTACAGTGGCGTGTTTGATTTGTTAAAGGCAAAAAGTGAAACTGTCAACGTTCACTTTTTGCCTTACTGTGTAATAAGGTGAAAATGGGCTTTTAGTATTGTAAGTCTTTGTTTCGTATAGTCGCATGTAAGTACGTTACTAAGTAAGCGATAAAATAAGGTAATCTTAGACTTAAGCTTAGTGATAGTAAGTCTTTAAACGGTCTTAAAGAATTTCGTAAAAAAATTTCATTGTTCGAAACATGTATATGTAATTAGAAAATTGTAAAAGTAATTCCAATTGAATTATGTACCTCTATCTATCACTACTTGTGTTAATTATGCCGCATAGTCAGTCTGGTTTTCGGTGAGTCATCGCGGATTGTTCTATTTTATTGCCTTCTTATGCTAATTCGTCAACAATAACAATATCGTAAAGAATACACTTAACTTGGATATAAACCTGTTAGAGCCTTGTAAAGTGAAAAAAAAAAAACGTAGTGTTTCAACTAGAACAGAACAGCCGGACGGCCCGGTTGCTGCAGTTAGCAACAGCGGTAGGTAACGGTTATTTCATTTCCGATGTTGCATCAGCCTGCTAGAACTTTCGAACGTGCACATACATTTCGGCCTGCGCTAAAAAACTAATATAACCTAACAATACGGAGTAATTCAATTATGACAGTAGACTTTATTACTACTTATTGTTTAAAGGTGAAATAAATAACAAGAGAGGTAAATATCGTTGAAGGTTTTCTTTTGTATTTCATTATCTTGGATACCAGGTTTGATATTTTTATTTATCGGGTTAGAATAAAGCCATTATCGGTTTATTTGTTTTAAATTTTGTAAGGCCGTTGCCCATCGGCAACCGGTGGTGTAACGGTTAGGTTAAGCCGAGCTGTAAGTTAGCAGCAAAAAAAGCCTAGAAAAGTGCCCGTTGCTAAGTTGGGCCGGCCGGCGTTTTGGCCTTGGGCGCCGGCTCTGACTCACCACTCGTGGCGAATCGGGGAGCACGACACTCGCACCGTGCACCGGGTTTGCTCGTTTTCGTGACTGTTATTTTTTTTTTCATGAAAATGTCAGACGTGAAATAATAGCTATTATCTTATCGACGCATTTTGTTTGTCTACAATTCATGGTACTTGGAGAGTTTATTTTTACAAACATAATTGATTGCCTGAAAAGCCGATAATAAGTTTATAAAAGGCTGATAATTGTCGATTATTTGTTTTATTCATCGTTAAAATTTCACTGTGTCTGAGATATCTTAACACAATACATATTAAAATTTCACACGTATTCAAAGCGAGCGTTATCTTAATTTTTAACATCTGACCTCCGTTTATAAATAAAATTTAACTGCCAGATATATAAATTAATGTAATTAAAATCTTTAAGATCCTCTACATCTACTTGCTGTGGTATTTAGTGATAGGAGTGTTTCATTTTTTTCAAACGTTTTTATAAGACACCAGCAAGACTTACGTAAGTAAGTAAGAGTTATCTTCATGCCTCAACAATGAACTTATCGCTTCACTAATATAATTAAATATGACTTTATAAACATAGATAAGTTGGTATTATGAATTCGGTTCAAACGCGTCACTGAAAGTCTCTCGATTAATCGGTACAAATAATTAATGACGGAATCAGCATATTATTACTATTTACATTTAATAAGTTGTTATCCTGATAATATATGTAATACAGCCACGACCTCACGATAGTGCTATCGCCGAGATAATAAGAACCAGAAATACATACAGAAAAATTGAAAAATAAGAAAATTGACATCGTAGCGTGGTTTGAATATTTCTTTGTAACTAAAAACCCGTTTGTTCGCCTTTAATGTAGCTGATGTAATTGTACAAATTGATTACAATAAAGATGTACAATTCACGGATTGCTGATAAAGGGACCTGTTTTTAAGTTTTTATTTTTAAAGCAGTTTAGCAATAGCCACTACAATATCACTGTTAGCAATATATTAATTTTCAAGGGAAACCTACAAAAGCTGAAGTTTTTCATTCTTATATGTTCACTTTTTAAATAGGTCAGTGCATTATGCTTAAATGAATATTCTCTAATGGTAACACAGGTCTATCCCAGTGCTGACATGTCGCAACTAAAAAGTTGCTTGGTTCCAACTCACATACTATACTAAGTATGTGAGTTGGAACACAACATAGTCGTCAAATTGAAAATATGTACAAATGATAAAGTTGACTCCCCAAAAATACATTATAATGCAAAAAAAAAAAGAAACAATTGCATGGTACTGCAAGAGTTTCATCGACTAAAACTGTGGTAAAACAAAAATAGTGACACTGAAACAATAATTCGCCGGTCGCTTATAAAAACTTGAGAAACTGCTTAAATAAAGTCGCGCCCGAACTCAGGAACATAAAATTATAATTAGCTCGCTACATAATGCATTAGATTGCTTCATACTGTGCTATCTAAAAATGCACTATCATATCGGTCTATGTGTTTGAGACATGTACAAACAAGCGTTTATACGGCCAGTTGCAGTGGTCGCGAAGGCGTCGGCGTCCCGGTGAACGCCGGGTACACTTCGCTTCTTGGCCGGGTTACAACACCTCATTTGTATGGTCAATATTTATTATGATCAGTATTCAAGAGGCGTGTTAACTTTGTGCCAAGTTTAGGCAACAGCTCATTAGCAATTTTAAACTAGCTTTGTTTATGTCGAGTTTCTTAGCTGAGCGACACGTGTGTGCCGCCGCTGTATAAATTATCGTTTAACTACATGGTTTTTATGTCTGCTTGAAAAAGCTTGATTGTCTTCTGTGACCTTGTTTTGGGCCGAGGCGTGCCACGTTTTTTCTAATCGATTGTATGAGTACTTTTATTGTTTGAAAGTAGTTAAGTTTATTTTAAGGTTTACTTGTAAGTTCCACTATTTCATAGAGATAAAATGTAAAAAAAAAAAAAAAACATTCGGTGTTTCAAATTGTATTATTGCTTTGTTAAGTTGTAGGTAACTTTATTGCTATGCATTCGATTCGTATGTAAATTATATTTCTATTTTTAGGTAAAGTATCTGGAAATGAGTTTTCGTATAGCAAAAATAACATGTACTCTCTGATTTTATTTGTGAATAAATGTTTTCTTATCGCTATAATTTGAATTTTATTTATTTCACCCCAAAGAAATACAAAGTCACTTTAGGACTTTCACAAGGTCTCATGACTATAAAAATTTACATTACACGACTGGTAAATACATCACTTTTTCTAAGAAAACGATAGTAATTTAATCGAATAGATGAAATGGACTTGCTATTGAGAACATTGTTTTGTTATTTGATTACATTTTATAAAGAAAACTATGATTTGATTAAATTACCTTCGAAGAACATTTTTAAAAGAAATGTTCAACTAAACCAATTTAAAATTTGCTGATGTTGAATGTTGAAAATATACAAAGAATTATCCGCTTCGTCGGAAATATCAGATATTAATGAATTCTGAACTTTGTACCAAACACTTAAGGATCTTTTCGGCTTTGCTCCCGTAATTATGTATTCTGCTCGGCGGAACGAGTGTTGTGATGACTTATTCAAACATGAATCGGACGAAGAGAAGTCCGACGTCAGTTATCGTCCACGTTCTGAGTGAACTCTCTTTTCTATGCCTCGATTTGGCTTCGAATAGACTTTTACCCGGCGAAAAGAAATTTAAAAAGTCACACATGAAATTTACTAACATATCTTCCGCGGCTAACTGATCCTTATCTCTTGTTTAGATTTTCTGCACCCTTTTACGGAAATAATGTTATGAGTATTTCCATTGAACTGGCTTGCGAAGAAAAAGCACCATTAGCATTCTAAATGGAATAAGAAATGATGATCATTTTAATTGCTCAGTTCGCGATGGGTCAAACAAAATGGCGCACTCGGTCTTAATTTAACATAACAGAAGATTATTCTACGCGATTAGTTTTTTCTTTTTGATAAAAAATACACTTGATAATAAAAACGAAAGTTATCCAGTATTAAAATCTTACTTAGTTAGTCAAGGATAAACATTAAAATTCCTTTGTTTCAGCAAATATATGCGTTTGGCCAGAGTTCACGTTCGGACCAATAACTTTAAATTTCAATTTCGCTTAAATCGGTTGAGTCATAGAATATATTGGTTCGTACGTTACATACTTTGAAGGGTTTGTTAACATGTAGATATTTAAATCGCTTCATGTATTCCATCGCGTTCAGTTTAGCTTAATCCAAGGTAATTGAAAATATACGCTTTAATTAGGGTTATATTAAATGTGTAATACCATATTGACATTCAACTATTGTGGTCAAAAAACATCGTCGTTACGGTTGCTATACGACGGAACAATGATTTTTTTTTCCCAATTTCCTTTCGGCTGTATGATCCTCGGCTGCGCGCGCATCGGTTATCGGCTATGGCGTCCGTTAATCGATGTTTTGGGGGCAGCAGCGTCTATAAATCAACCGGTACCCAACAAAATTTCCGTATGCCGAGACGCTGAGCATAATTACTTACCGAAACCCGTTCTTGAGCTTCCCTAAACGTATTTCATTCGAAAGAATCGCTTTGTTTACGAGAAGCGATGACGTCGGGATGTACTCCTGAGATTGCCATTTATAATAATAACGAAAAGTCTCGTGTCTTCATGGCTGGATCTAAACGTATGTATCAGAGCAAATATGGTTTGAACATATATGGTTGTATCAAAACGTAAAACCTTGAGATGGCAATCTGGCTCAAGCCAATATTTCTTAAAAAAAGATATGAACATGTCTAGAGGCACATAATGTTATTGTGTATAAATAGAAAATTACAACAAATGATAAAATAAGTTTTGCTATACTTAAATTAAAATGATATATA